TGGATTTCCTCTTGGTTGGTGTCCGATCGGCCTCTGTGCTGTCTGTGAGCCTGGGAGGAACACACATTCAAATTAAACAATTGATTTGGCTTTAAAGGGAACAATGTGAGATACAGCATAAAGGGTTTTGAATGATAGAGCTGTATAATACTGTACACACAATGCATTCTAGAAACATAAGAGCCACAACTGGTGCATTAGGAGTATTGGGATACTATTTTTTACTATATTTCTGATGAAGTAGGTCGCAAGGATAAAAGGGATTAGAATGAAAGAATAGAAGTGTCTTTCTCTTGACTTTGTTCCCTTTGATATGAAGGCACATTTCATTGCGTTTCAGTAATAGCATGTGTAAAATCCATCAAAGCAAGCGATCTAAGAAGAAACATCCTTTTGTGGCTCAACTGCTAATAAGAGGGCACATGTAGTCATTTCATTACAAGCAGCACTCTCAGAAAGAACACAGTCTTCACAAGTAAGGCTGTTTAGTCCGTCTAGTACAGCGGGGGGAACCTTTTTCCTCTCAAGGGCCATTTAAATGTTTTCAACATCCTCCGAGGGCCGTACAAATTATTGACCTCTGCTTAAAAATACTAAAATCACAGCCCATTCATTTCGCCTTTCTTTCATGCTGTGCAAAGAAAAGCAAACCTCTTAATCCAGATTTTTACCATGACTCGCGCATGCATGCACGTGCACGGTTGTGGCATGACCACCAAAACAGAATATATGGACACAAGATGTGTGCAATTTAGTTTCCTATCCATGTGAATATGATTTAAGTGTGGGGGACCTATCCTCTCTAGGGGGGTCCGAGGAGGCAATGCTCCCCGGGAAGATTTTTTTTTAAATGTTGAAGTTAAAAGCATCAATCTGGTGCACTTTAAGAGTTAAGAGATTTATGGATACATCTCTCAACACCCCATATGAAACAGAACAGTAAGCAGATTTTCTTTATGGATATTTACAAATCACTCCCCTTTCAAACTGTATTGTTGTTTATTAATAACAACTTTTTTTACTGTCATATAGTAGCCTATTTTACACCTGTTTACTTTATTCTCTTATTTTTTTATAACTATAAATGATCATATAAAGATGTGCCTTTACCTCACTGGTTTAGAAAAGCGTCTTATATTACGATACGATACGATACGATATACTTTATTGTCCCCGTAAGAGAAATTCGTTTCTGGGCTCGTCCAGCAGTTCCGCATACATGTACATATATACAAACATAGTGGACATTTAAGAGACATACACATATCAATCATACACCGTTTGAACAAACACAATACACGCAGACGCACATACTGACAATGGCGACCTATTGCACAACCCTCATGGCCAACATTTAAAAAAAAGTACATTTCATACATTTGACTTACTACATTTGACTTCCTGTCAATGTTAAGAAGTTTAACGGACATTGGTAGGAATGAGTGCTTATAGCGGTTTCAGCCTGCTCTTGGGAACCCTGAATCTTCTACCAGAAGGTAGGAGCTGAATTCTGGGTGGAGTATGTGGGTGGGATCAGACACTATTTTGTTTGCCTGTCTGATAATGGACTGCTCATATGTCATATATGTTTTGGAGAGATGGGTGTTTTTAACCCCCATAATTTTCATAGCCGTCTGTACCAGGCGAGCGATCTGTGACTTTGACTGCACTGTCAAGTTACCGTACCAGCAGTGATACCATACCTAATGATGCTCTCCAACACTGCATGATAAAACAGTAACATGAACTTCTGGTCGACTCCGAAAGCCCGGAGTCGACGCAGAAAGTACAATCGCTGTTGAAGTCTAGAGCACAGACCTTGAACATGCGCCTTCCAGCTGAGTGTATTATCTAGATGGACACCAAGGTACTTATATTCGTTAGCATAGCTAGCTAACCAGATGCTAATAACAACAAAGTTATTGACTGTATGATCAGTATGACAGATGAACAGATCGCCACTGGGTTTACAACTAAAGACACAGCCACGCAAAAACTGCGGCATGTGTACGGCTCCTTATGGGTACTGACATTTGTGAAGTCCCGGCCAGAGCGACGTCCTGGGCTGCTTCTCAGGTCGACTATTTTCATTTCCTCGCTCCTCGGTCTCACCGGAAGTTGATTTGCCCGCGCCATCTTGAGTACCGGTCCCATGGCTCTTATTCTGCCGGAGGACCGAGGAGCGAGGAGCGATCATGGAGGGAGCGATAACCGAGGAACCACCAGACCATCCTCCGATGAAATCCTCAGATACTCAACCCCGCCCCCTTACTGTGTACGCTCACTGATTGGACGAGGCAGTGCATGCACTTGATCTGATGCTTCTTGACATGAGAGCAGAGTGAAGAAAATACATGAACCTCACGGGAGTCACTCCTCAGTTTATACCGTGTTTGTTTCAATTCATGTATCATTTAGTTACAAAATAGTGATATATCTGAACAACAAAGTGGTCAAAAAATCATTTAATTCATTTTTTGGAAACATTTTCATGATCGCTTTTTTCGTTTTACATTTTCATTTATTGTCATTTCCATTCAGTCAGTCATTAAGTGCTATTAAAATGTTAATGTGCTACATATCCAAACAAACAAACAAAGTGTGCAATCCAATGAATGTTAATCTAACTGAGTTTTGATAGATAACATATCTCTTTTTCTTCTCTCAATTATTTCATTTCTATTGTGCACTCTAATCAATATTAATCAAACTATTGTTCGTTTATAAATTTTAAGAATGGCGTTTATCTTTTTTGACAATGAGTTCTTATTTTATTTTATTTATTTGGGTCTGATGATACAAATGTTTGTGTCAGTAAATGTGTACTAACCATAGACTGGATATACTAACAGAGGCGGGGGTGTGTGGAAATAACGGGGACAGAGCTGCTGTCAGACGATCAGCTGTGCAGCGTCATCACAAACGGACGTCGCTTCACGTGACGCTCCGGAGGAAAGGACGTCCCATTGCTCTTAAAACTCATTTCCCTGCTTCTCGTGGTTTCCTTGCGTCCCTCCATGCTTCCCTGGTGGGAGGGACTAAACGCAGGGAAACGACGCAAGTGAGGGAAGCAAGGATTTCATTTAATCGACCTGAGAAGCAGCCCTGGTGCTCTCCGGCAGCTCTAAACCCCTGTCGGGCGAGACATATACCACGTGATGACACGTTAGGCTCGTGTTGTGTTCAAGGACCCTGACCTTGGCCTGGAAAAACAGGCACTCGCTTGTTTAATTCTTTTGCGGTCTAGATTTCTAAAAAAAAAATCTTTTTTGCGTGAGTTACCTCGAGGGCCGTATCCAATTGTCTCGCGGGCCGCATACGGCCCGGGGGCCGGAGGTTCCCCACCCCTGGTCTAGTGCAAACGATACACATTCCTGTCGCTGTTCACGCTGTTCCACTGACTGACAGTGTGAGGAACAGGAGGGGAAAAGAAAACTGCTAGCAAGTGAACATGGATGTTAACGACGTAAAGTTTGAAATATTCCAGCTTTGCAGTTTCTTTCCTGAGGAAGGCCTTTGACATTGTTTTAACCTCAAAGAAACACCCAATGTGAGTTGGTAGGAAACACCTTCAAAAAAAAAGGTTCCGCCCAGACCAAAACAGCAAAACAGCTTTATGAGTCAAATGTGTGATAAGTTTGTTAAGGTTTATGAGTGTAACAGCTGTAAAGTATTGAGAGATGCAGTTATCAAATGTTTTATGTGATGTATTAAAGGTAGGGTAGGTAAGAATGGAGAAACCAGCTCGAGTGCGCTTGAATTTGAAAGTACGCAGCCGGAAAAATCTGTCACTTCCTTACAAAGCCCCTCCTCCAACACACACGAATGCGTACATGACCAATGAGGGCACGAGATAAGTTTGTGCACAGAGGCAGGTAGGCCATCCAGTTATTTTAGCCGGGCCAGCTCAGATGATTGGTCGTGCTTTTTACAGCGCCACGGCTTCCACAGATGAATTTTAATGTATTTATTGTCAAAGCATTTAATATATTCATTGCTATCGGGATGTTAAGAGCATTCCATGGAATATAACAAAAGTGTTTCTGAAGAGAATTACCTGATTGATTGATTGATTGAAAAGTTTATTAACAGCTTGTATATTGGGTACAGTACAGTACAGCTCAAAACATACAATTGTTAAGGGGATGCAGACCAGAGAAAGACTTTCGTCTTGTTTACATCAGGGTCCCCCATTTCCAATTCATCATATCATTTAAGACATATAAGACAAATTTGACATACAGATGGCTTATTTAAAATTTACATACAGGTGGTTTTTTTACATACAGATTGCTTATTTACAATTTTCATTTTAGATTTCGTTCTAATACATCCTAACCGGACATTTAAGACATACCAAATCTACAGATATACAGTTAGTAACAGAGTCTAAAATGCGAGTATATACATAGATGGGGGGGGGGGGGGGGGGAAGCTGTCCATTGTACGACAGGTTGAGATTTGTACCATTACCGGGGCCAGTTTTACAATGCTCTCCCCCGAAGGTGCTCTTCAAGAGAGGTTTTGAAGGTAAGTATAGTTTTACTTTCCTTTACAGTTGTGGGAAGAGCGTTCCACCTTGATGTGGCATAATTGCGAAACGTGTATTCCCCCTTTTTTGTGCCAAATCTGGGTTTCACATGATTTGTGGAGCTCCCTCTGGTGTTATGATCATGGTATTCCTTGATCTTTGGGAAGAATTTTGACATGTACATGGGTACCATAGAGGTGTGGATCTTGTAGACCAGGCCCATTGCAAGTAGCTGTACTCTGTCGTCTACTCTAAGCCATCCTAGTTTGTCAAAGTGGGCAGAGGTGAGGTGGGTTCTAGATGAAAGGTCAAGCAGTAGTCTGACCAGTTTATTTTGCGATGTTTGAAATTTTATTTTTAGCGCCTTGGAGGTGCTATGGTACCATGACGTGCAAGCATAGTCAACCTACCCCACCTTTAAGAAATATCACCGGCCTTATCTATTACAGAGACACTCCAGATCAACATAGTTTAGAAGTGAGGGTCGAGGTCAGCAGACATAGCGTGACTTAAAGTGCCCTGCCCTTACTAACTAATTTACTTTAAACAGTGTTGCAGGATGGGGGAACTTGTGTTTTCTTATCCCCCCCCTCTGATCTCACCTCACTGAGTCCGTCCTCTGAACCTGGCAGGCAGCCTTCACCTGAGGGTGGAAGCCATCTTTGGTGTGCAGCGCTGCATTTGTACTGAAACACTGTGAAGAAAAGCGACTTATGGACGTGAGCACATTGGACAGTGAAAGAAAAAGTGGATTTTTAAAATGAAGCAGCCAGAATATCACAAAGTTAAATCGTCTCTGCCTTTCTCTTATTGCCATCCATGAAAACCTTAATTACATTACATTTAGCTGACGCTTTTGTCCAAAGCGACTTACAATAAGTACATTCGACCAGGAAGACACAACCTTGAAGAAAACAGAATCATATAAGTACATCAGGTTTCATAGAGCCAAACATTTCAAGTGCTACTCAACTGGCTTTAGGTAAGCCAGTCCTTTATTAGTATAAAAGTGCTTCGTTAATAGTTCTAACGCTCGAAGTGGAGTCGAAAGAGATGAGTTTTCAGTTTGCGCCGGAAGATATGCAAGCTATCTGCTGTCCTGATGTCAATGGGGAGCTCATTCCACCATCTTGGAGCCAGGACAGCAAACCCACGTGTTTTTGCTGATGGGAACTTGGGTCCCCCTCTAAGCGAGGGCGCAACGAGTCGTTTGGCTGATGCAGAGCGTAGTGCACGCGCTGGGGTGTACGGTTTAACCATGTCCTGGATGTAGGAAGGGCCAGATCCATTCGCAGCATGGTAATTACCACAAATAAGCATTAAAAGAGCCATGAAAACAGTCCTTGTTTATTTCTTAAATATAACTTAAATATAACCAAATGTAATAAGATTTTCTGAGGACAGCAGCATTTTCCGAATGTGCAGCCTAATCTCAGAGAAACAAAGAGATGCATTCAGGCCAAAATAACCTCATCACTAATATTAACACGGTTAGTTGAAATTGCATTGCATTACTGTGTGTGTGTGTGTGTGTGTGTGTGTGTGTGTGTGTGTGTGTGTGTGTGTGTGTGTGTGTGTGTGTGTGTGTGTGTTGTGTGTGTGTGTGTGTGTGTGTGTGTGTGTGTGTGTGTGTGTGTGTGTGTGTGTGTGTGTGTGTGTGTGTGTGTTACATGTGGAAGGTGAGAAATGACCCGGTCCTTCTTCACAGGTGGTAACATGCTGCTGCAGTTAATCAATGAACACACACACACACACACACACACACACACACACACACACACACACACACACACACCACACACACACACACACAAACAAACACACACACACACGCCTTCAGGTTATCAAGCTCACTGACAGCAAGCCCAACAAACAGGATGGAGCATCAGCAGAGAAGGAAAAATAGGCATTCATAAAAAATAAAAAGCAGAAAAATCTGAAGTTTTACTAAGTTTACCAACTTTACCTGAAACTAGAAGCTTAAACTGCTGGAGGTAATGTGTTCTGGGCCTGGAGATGCGATGTTGTATCCAAGTGTTGCTTAGAAAATAAATCCAGAACAAAGCAAAATGAGTCTCACAGCACCGAACTGAATCTGCTGACTGACAGCAGACAGACAAACATTCAATTAATGAGATTCTCCCTGTATGAGTGAATACCTGAGAAACAGCTCTACCCTGCGGCCACAGGGTGTTCCTACACAATTCACTGATGATTAACAACATCAGTGTATCTCCAAAAATCAAGTGTCTTCTCATTTGAATGTGTAATTATGGCCAGCGGAGCTCCTTCTCCAACAGACTTCTGCAGCTCCGCTGTCACAAGGACAGATACAGGAAAACATTCCTGCCCACTGCAATAACTCTCTATAACAAATCCCCTCTGGCTGGCAGAGAACTCTCTGCTCCATAGCTTCTCTTAATAACTGGACTTCAACTCCCACTGTACATTTTACATTCACATTATATTTCATATTGAATAATCCATTCTTGCTAAATAATATCCTGCATTATATGTGTTACTGGACATTTCCACATGTATATTTTCCACATGTATGTATATATATTTTTTTTTTTTAACTTGTAACTTTTTTATGCTATTTTATTTCTATTTCTGAAATATTTTGGACTATTTCTGTGTCTTAATTTTTCTTATGTACATTGCCTTGTGTTTTTTATGCTGCTGCAACGCAAACATTTCCCAAATTGGGATCAATAAAGTACCTATCTATCTATCTATCTTTCAGAGTTAAATCATGTACTCCATTACATTTATTTAGTACCTTTAGTACATTTTCAGAATTGGATTAATGATGTGAAATAGTCAACAAAAACAAAAAATGAAACCTGGAGTAAAATCACAAGCTTCAGCCTCAAAGTAATTAAAACTAGCTACACATTACAAGCTTTGATAAACATTACAATCAAAACATATACTATATCATTCTGAAATCTGCATAATGATACTTTTACTTTTGATATTTTATGTATATTTTGATGCTAATACATTTATTTTTGTGATTGAGTAACATTAAGCAGGGCTTTTACTTGTAACAGAGTATTCCTACACTTCGGTACTTCTACCTGAGTACATCATACTCTAGTTCTGGCAGAATAATCATGGATCCCGACGCCTCTTTCCTTCTCTTGTTCTCTTTTTCTTTTCTTTACGGGAGAGTTTAGCCTTCAAGAATCCAACGTTTGGTGCTCTCCACAAATATAAAAATGAATATTAAAAAAGTATTCCACTGTGTTTTCTGACAAGGCAATCTAATGTTTGTTGTCCACAGCTGACGTTATACCGGCCGGACTTCTTTCTGCGGATTGATAGGACTGCACGTAGTCCCTTTATCATTCTTAGCACACCTCTGCTAAGGGTCACTAGATCCTTAGCAGAGTTGTGTTAGCGAGTATTAACCTCTGAAATGTCCACATTTACCAATCAGAATTGAGTATTCAAACAAAATCATGTATTATTTATTTATTCAAGATGTCATTCAAAGTCATATTTCCTTCTTGTTTCCTAAGCACAGATGTGGAGGTGGTGAAAGCTTCCTGTGTGTGTGAGGAGCTTCCCGATCCCACCAGCACAGAAGAAGAAGAAGAAGATGTAACAACGTCCTCTGTGCTGGTCGGGCTGGGGAGCTCCTCGTCCTCTCGGCTGGTGGGTGGAGCGGGGGTTGTCGGGGGCTGGGGTGAAGGGCATGGAGGTCCTTACTGTACTCACAGGGTCTGGGACTAAGCTGAGAGCGGTCTGCTGTGGTGCTGGGTCTTTCTGGGATCATCGGTTGGTGATCTACTCTCAGCTGCCAAAAACACCAAGAGGAGTCCTGCCCTGTGAGACAGAAACACAAAAAATAAATACTCAAATATACAACCTCTGAACTGTTGCAAGCTGTTAAACCTTCAATGATGGACAAATATGATAAAACTCCAATAATAAATACAATCCTTGTGAGGGGATCACTTACTAAGCCCCAAAAGACAACCCGCTCTTAATCAGTTGTCATCCTTTCTTTTGGTGTGGTCTGCAGTATCTCATCTTCTTCGTCTGAACATCCTGGAACATCCTTGAGTTTCAGTCTTCCACGGAGTTGCTTTTTGTAGGAAGGTTGATGCAGCGTGGGTAATGCTGGAGACCTGTTAGAAAACCTGAAAGAGACTTGGAGACTTTTCGTGATGTTAATAGTCACTGCTTTAGCACTATATGTTGCACCTAGAAAAAACTGAGCAGTACTTGAGTAAATGTGCTTGAATTAGTTTAACCACCGTCTTAAACGATTTACTTACCTGTCTTGCAAAGCCATACTTTAAAAAGAAAGAATACACAACCATACCATGTTAACTTACCTCTGGTATCAGCATCGACCATCATCAAATTTTTTATCCAAAAGTAAAAACGATTAAAAAAATTAAGTAATATATTAATAAAAGCCCTGGTGCAACATTTGACCTATCGACCCAGCAGGACGTGTTTGAAGATGCCTGGGGCTTCATCAGTCCTGATAGAGGCAAAGGATTTCAAATCCTGTAGCAATAACTTGCAGGTGGGAGCTGCTGGACGAGAGGGGAGTGATACACCATCGTCTACAACGTCCTATTCATCCTCTTCCTCTTACCTCTGCTATCAGCATTGACCATTATCAAATAATATTAAAAAGACAGTAATATATAAATAAAAAGCCCCAATGCAATTTTGACCCATCACAAAACCTGGTATGAGCATCGACCATCATCAATTATTATCCAAAAGAAAAAAATATCGAAATGAAAAATGACATATTAATAAAATAAAGCCCTGGTGCAAGATCTGACCTATCGCCAACCCAGAAAGATGTGTTTGAAGCTGCCTGGGGCTTCATCAGTCCTGCCAGACGCAAAGGTTTTCAGATCCTGCAGCAGACGTCCGTCTCAGTCCGAGTCGCTGTCTTCAGGGAGCCTGTGGTCCTCTGGACGGTATCTCTTGTCCAGGGGGGGGCAGGGGCCTGAGCTGGAGGGTGTCAAGTCCCTAAAGTCCTCTTCCCTGGTCCTTTTGGTGGAGAGGCCGAGGCCTGAGGTTGGGGTTGGAGAGTCCCTAAAGTCCTCTTCCCTGCACGCCTCCTCCCAGGTCCTCTTGGTGGAGAAGCCGAGGCCTGATGTCGATGGAGGGGCTGAGGATGGAGCTTCTTCAGGACGTTCCACTTGCGGCGCAGAATCTTCCGGAGGGGCAACACCCAAAGGGCGAAATGCCTGCCAATATCTCACAGGTGGGCGCTGCGCGACAAGAAGGGGCACCATGGGGCAGCAGAGACCTAAGGTGGAGGGTGCCGAGTTCCTGGAGTCCTCTCCCTGATCCTCTTCGTGGAGAAGACGAAGCCTGGTGTTCTTGGAGCGAATAATCCTGACCTTGGAGGGGCTGAGGGTGGACCTTCTTCAGGACGTTCCAGTCGCGGTGCAGAAACCTCCAGGGGGGCAACATCCAAAGGGAGGTAGCAGGGATTTGCAGGGAGGAAGCTTGGAGTGAAGGTCCCACGCAATACCTCCCAAACATTTATCGGCGGGAATTGCTGGGTGAAAGGGGGGAGACGTCCGATATCGGCATCACCGTCATCACAATAATCTTCAGTGTCCTCTTCCTCCTCCTCCTCCTCTTCCTCTTCTTCTTCTTCTTCTTCCTCCTCCTCCTCCTCCTCCTCCTCCTCCTCCTCCTCCTCCTCCTCCTCCTCCTCCTCCTCCTCCTCCTCCTCCTCCTCTTCCTCCTCTTCTTCCTCGGAGGACAAGGACCCGTATCCAGAATCTTCAGATGTCCAGTCTTCCCCCTCATCCTCCTCTTCATCCTCCTCCTCTTCCAAATCCTCTTCCTCCTCCTCTTCCCTCAGTCCATGACCTCCACCTAAAAAACCGACAGCAAACTCACCTTCATCCTCGACAGCGTTCCTGACCTCACCTACCTCTTCCTCATCAGGAGCATTGTAGACAGGGAGATTACCTTCATCGCCTGCAGGAGGATCCATGATGAAGTTCTCAGAGCCTGAGGGGGGGGAATTCAGAGTGTAAGTGTAGTCCTCTTCCCTGCATGCCTCTTCCCAGGTCCTCTTTGTGGAGAAGCCGAGGCCTGATGTCGATGGAGGGGCTGAGGATGGAGCTTCTTCAGGACGTTCCACTTGCGGCGCAGAATCTTCCGGAGGGGCAACACCCAAAGGGCGAAATGCCTGCCAATATCTCACAGGTGGGCGCTGCGCGACAAGAAGGGGCACCATGGGGCAGCAGAGACCTAAGGTGGAGGGTGCCGAGTTCCTGGAGTCCTCTTCCCTGATCCTCTTCGTGGAGAAGACGAAGCCTGGTGTTCTTGGAGCGAATAATCCTGACCTTGGAGGGGCTGAGGGTGGACCTTCTTCAGGACGTTCCAGTCGCGGTGCAGAAACCTCCAGGGGGGCAACATCCAAAGGGAGGTAGCAGGGATTTGCAGGGAGGAAGCTTGGAGTGAAGGTCCCACGCAATACCTCCCAAACATTTATCGGCGGGAATTGCTGGGTGAAAGGGGGGAGACGTCCGATATCGGCATCACCGTCATCACAATAATCTTCAGTGTCCTCTTCCTCCTCCTCCTCCTCTTCCTCTTCTTCTTCTTCTTCTTCTTCTTCTTCTTCTTCCTCCTCCTCCTCCTCCTCCTCCTCCTCCTCCTCCTCTTCCTCCTCTTCTTCCTCGGAGGACAAGGACCCGTATCCAGAATCTTCAGATGTCCAGTCTTCCCCCTCATCCTCCTCTTCATCCTCCTCCTCTTCCAAATCCTCTTCCTCCTCCTCTTCCCTCAGTCCATGACCTCCACCTAAAAAACCGACAGCAAACTCACCTTCATCCTCGACAGCGTTCCTGACCTCACCTACCTCTTCCTCATCAGGAGCATTGTAGACAGGGAGATTACCTACATCGCCTGCAGGAGGATCCATGATGAAGTTCTCAGAGCCTGTGGGGGGGGGGGAATTCAGAGTGTAAGGATTTCACAGGTAATATGTGGGATTATTTAGCAATAATCAATGATTGGAGAAAAAAAAAGCACAACTATGACTTTAATTTACAAGACATGACAGGAGAACCTGTTAAAAGCCTGCTAAAACATAATTGTGGTTAGAATAACACTGGGGATAATACATTATATTATTTTTCTGATAAACAGTGACGACAAGAAATATACTAATTGGGATTTTTGTTATTGGCAATATTATTTTCGTTATTTGAATATCTCCAAACCCTTTTTTTATAAAACAGAAGTGCACATAAACGGCATGTGTTGGACAAGTAAAGGAGAAGCTTGCTCTGCGCATTTTACACACCCCTTCTTCCGCAGCAGCAGAGCCTTCTTTAAACCAAAATGCAACATTACAAAATGTGCAAACAAATAAATGCTGACTGTGGGGAATGCAAGACCCAGATCCCGAGAAAAAACGGTGTAGGCTATGTGTGGCCAAACTTTGGTTCCCAAAAAGAGGGTGCATTTATATATGCATTCATATCCATTGCGAAGAACTGACTACAGTAATATAATCTAAAATGACCACAGTAGTTTGCAGACTTTCCTTAGGTTTATAAGTAGGCCTAATTATGTTCCGAGTTTAAGTAGGAGTTCGTCATCTTGGACGCAGACCGCGCACAAATCTCCCCCCCCCCCTCTAAAACTAAACAAGAAAATCCGTTTCAATATGTAATGTTAAAAGGAAAGCTTAATTAATATGATACATTAGAAGGAGTAGCCATTTCTCCAATCAATAAAGCTTCAACAATCAGAACGAACGACACTCAGGGAGGCAGCTGCACAGAAGAACGTGCCCTGCAGGGAATTGTGCGTCGTTGCCATGGTGCATAACTTGGACATATTTTTTAGCATTCTATGAAATTAGGCCCAATCGCCATTTTGTTTTTGTAATTTTTTGGTCGTTTTTCGACGATATCTCGCAATTAAATCAAACATAACTGTGTTTTCAAATCACTGCACTCTTTATAAATACATTACACACATCTAGTGCTAAAAAAAAGTAGGTCTTATCCACAAATATTAATTTTACACGGAAAAAACGCGAGTGAGATTCTGCTTTCTCCAAATTGGATTTTGAGCAAAATAAATGCCAACATTCTATGAACTTTTCACCTCTAAACTAAAGATATTGCACTCATTTCCACACAGAAACAGCTTTGTAAGATATTAAGGGGATATATGAACAATTATAAGGCAACAAATGTGTATTTTTTAACGTTTTTTTTTTTCTTTTTACTTTGAGTGTAGTTTCCCAACACGGCCTATGGCCAGCGGCAGGTGCTGCTCCTCCTCTGGGGGTCTTGTTCCGCCTCTCCGGGTTTCCACAGCAGATCAGGGATACAGTACTTTTGTTTTATAGTAGTTTTGTTTCTCAGAAGTTTTGTTTTCCAGCAGGTTGAATCTCAAAGAGTTTTCTCTCCACAGGTGAGTTTTGCAAAAGGTGTGCTCTGGTCAGAGTCCAAGTGCAAAGTGAGCTTAGAGCGGACAGCAGCTGCAACCCCAACGTTCGGTTTCCATGACAATGACGCACGTACGTGACCAAGAGAGGCCTTTTACCAAATATCATAGGCCTACTTGTTAAATATATGTTTTGTTTAATTAAAGGCTAGGATTTATTTTTCCTTTTATGCATGTGCAGTAGGTTAGTTTATGTTCCTATAGTAGGCAGCTTCATCCCGTGTTTTGTTTTTCTCTCGTTAGGATAAATTGCTCCTTTTTCTGTGTTTCTGGCGCTTTCGTTAATTTTGGAAACGAATAAAATCTCTAATAATCTCAGTTTGTGTGCGATTGCCTTTTTTTTATTCTGAATAATAACCAACCCGTTTCTGCAGTAGCCTACAACGCATCTGAAGTTGAAATTGAACAGATGATGTAAATAAAACTATTTTTCGTCTTTGTTATGATGTGCAGTGATCCTTCATTGTAGTATGATCAGATATTTTATAAATGATAATGTATTTTCTTTTACATGCATCCTCCATGGTGATAAAATGATGGAGGATTTCCTGAGCGTCAGTCAGTAAATGGTACAGGCTCACAGTAATGCCTGTTTCCCTTCAACACATTATTTTCTGCTCTCTGAAACAGACATGCAATTTAAACACAGTGAGAGCTGAAAAGTGGTCCCTCAATAGTGTTTAATCTGTCCGATAGTTTACAGATTTTTATCTTTACGGTCAATTTGTCATTACATTTCATTTAGCTGACGCTTTTATCCAAAGCGACTGACAATTACCAATTACAGGGACATTCTCCCTTTAGTAGCTAAGGACTAAGTGCCTTACTCAAGGGCACACTGTGGTGGTGTTCCTGGCGGGATTTTGAACTCACAACCTTCCGATCTTCAGCCCACCTCACTATCCATTAGACCACCACTATCATCTTGTACATTAGACCACTATCATCTTGTACATTAGACCACCACTATCATCTTGTATATTTTCTAGTTCTGTTTTTATTTTGAAGTGTTTCTATTTTATAATTGTTTATTTTCTACTCTTTAGTTTCTAATTATGTGCAATGCCTTGTTTTTGTATGCTGCTGAAACGAAACCATTTCCCAATTTGAGATCAATAAATATAACTTATCGTAGACTTACTGCGTCCATAGACTATTTACAAACACGCGGTTGTTACATGGGTAACGTGTAGGCAAAGTGTTTCACAGAGAAGAAGAATTTAGGATTAAGATCAACCTTTTTGTAACTCACGAGGGGATATTCCGTTTTTCACTCAGTTGTTATTTTACAATAAAGAAATACACACGCCATAGGTCTACTCAATTGTAATTCTTATTGCAGACTAAAAGTCCTGCAATTAAATATTACTTAAGTAAAAGTACACGTAGGCCTATGATGTATCTCAAAATGGTACTTAGGCTAAATATCAGACAGCAGTTACACATAGGATATGGACCTACACAGACAATGTCACACAAGCTGCCCTACCTTCTTTACTTCAGCGATTGCTTTTAGTTTAATCTATGAATGGTTTTGACAGAGGCGCACAGTCTCATCTTCAAAAACCCACTTTTCCTCTATAAGTGGTTAGTGGATTTTTTGCGAGCAGTTGCCAAAAGAGCGCTTTGCCAAGCCAATCAGGACATTTAATTTGTATGGAATGCGTCACAATGAATAAAAACAGTTTTTTTCTGTTTGAATCTCAAGCCTCCGCTCTTCACATCTGTTAAAACAAACACACCTGTGACCACAAACACACATACACTGTGAATTTGAGTGTTGAGGCTGATTTAAAAATCTAAATCAAGGAGAAACTCTCATGTCAGCTGAGTTTATCTGTATTCTGATCAACTGCCTATGTGTTCGGCTCCTAGATAGCCTCTATTGTATTGTTGACTCCTATTGACACTAACAACATGCACCTTTGGAGGTAACTGTGGTTGTTGAGAGGACTTATGTGAGAAAGTGAAGAAACAGTCATTTATTAAACAATTGATTTTTAGTAACAAGTGGAAGTCAGTATCATGTCTGTGTCAGAACGTCATTCTTTAAGTTGGCTCCAATTTGAATCCCTTGGGTTTTTAATATTTAGTGAGTATTTCACGTTTGACACTGGGGTTTGAAGTGTGCCACCACGCCGGATGTGATACATTTCTGCTGTAATTCACTCAGCAGTAAAAATGAAGATGCTTCAGTGGATGAAATGTCTCTCAGCGTATTGGCTACCATCGCACTGACTTGCCACTGCGTGTATATCTCTTTCTGTGTATAATAATCAGAAGTGCACGCAGCTATTTCAGTAAAATAAATATATTGTCGTTAAAAGAACAAACATTGAATCTCTCGTGGTCGTCGTGCGAAAGTTTTTCTCTGCATCCTCTTGACTTATGCATTTTAATGTCTTCTTGCTGTGCCTCTGCCACAGTACAGGCAGCGCTGGTATTCAATTTTTTTACGTCTCAATGCCACTTAGTTTGGGGAATAAATATTCTGAATATTTGTGTAAATAATGTGGAGGTCCTTCTTTACTAAGTTGATCAGCAGGCATGTAGAGTCCTGTAAAGGGTGATCAAGAACTCGGGTTGGGCCGCTGTACACCAAAGGCTGTAATGAAGACGTTGACCACGACTATGATAACGACGAAGGCTGTGGTGGTATTCTCCAAGATGTTCAGCTTGAAGTGCATGCGTGTATCATTCAGGTTCCACTTAACTGTAAAAAGAAAAAAGGAAATACATTAGTTTTGCCTAGTCCGTAGGAGTAGGCCTGCCATCCCCTCAAGAAACTATCACAGAGTTTCCTGTTGTATTGGTAATCATTTCTGAGCTCCATGGTATAGATGAACAACATCTGACAGCACAGCCCTCAAGTGAATAATTCGCTTCTTCCTCCATTAGGACATTACATGCTTCGCTGGGTTGAGAATGTTTTTTTCTTTAGAAAGAGAAGGTCTGTTTTGTTTTTTTAACGACCGTCTCAGATTTGGCAAATCTCCAAGACATGACTTATTTTCCAAAAGTTAAGAGAGCTCTTTAAAACTGGAAACAGCTGACAGCAGAGGCGCTTCTTCCTGTTGTGACTCCCTAAACTCAGCCAACAGTATTCTGTTAGGATAAGATAAGGAGCCAAAGGAAGAGTGAGTACACTGATATGTATGTGCTCCCAGGGTTATCGGTTATATGCAGGGGTGCACATAACTGGTACGCAGATAAGCATGCGCGGCAACAATCTGAAATGCGTACCGTCACTCACTTGTGTCACAAGGCGCATTTGCGTACCGACGTCTTATGAAGCTTTTCCAGAAGGCGGTTAGATCACCGGACGACATAGTCGGTCTCCGTGTGCACAGACAGGGCTGCTGTTAACGTCGGTCTGTACAACGGAATTGTGCCAAAACTACGCCTACCGGCTGCGGAGGGAGAGTCCCCCCTGTCTTATTATACATCCATGGTCACTACCCGATCTGCAGCTCTGCCCAATCTGCAGTGCGCATGTGCGAGATGGTCCGTCATATTGGAAACCCAAGTAGGACCCTTGACACGGTGGCTTTTGGCAAATCATAAAAAGACAACGCGAGAGATGAGTTATTATTATTACGTGACTTCACTATTATTTAACAACTCTTTTTATTGGGTTCTTTTATTTGGGGTTAAGTAGGCTACATTGTCAGAATAAGTGAGAAATTAATTTAACTTCTGTTAGACAGCTATATGCCATACATGTTTGCATACATTCACAGTAAATATGTATTCAGTATGGTAGCTGTCTAACAGAAGTTACATTTCTCACTTATTGTGATAATGTACTTAACCCCAAATATGGCGGATCATCTCGCACATGCGCACTGCAGATCGGGTAGTGACACCCCCCTTCACTGGAGAAGGGGAAATATTGACGTTCGCGATACAGAGGGCTTCATCAAATAACTCTGAGTGAAGTATGAAGTTGGAGTACCAAACACTGACTCCAGATACTCATCTCAGTACCTCACTGAGAAAGTTATGTGCACCCCTGGTTATATGCCCAGAGAAGCCTAAATATTATTGTGCTTCTTTTTGTGTGGTTAAAAATCTTCGTTGGTAGACCTGTAAAAACAGCATGAGACATTTGATATCCAATTTAGTACAAATGGTTTCAGTTGTAGAGAATGATTAGCCAACAAATCCTATCAATGAACAGCAGTTGTTAGTTGTGTTCCCATGTGACAGTGTAGTTACAAATGCACACACATTGTAACAAGTACACGTTTTTTGACCCGGCCTTTGCCTGTAACAGTGGACTCAAAAAGTCCCATTTGTGACTTAAATGGGTGTGCATGTGTAACTTCAGTATCACATAGCATGGGAGATTTGATTATTGAGTTTCACAGAGTTATCTGCCTTGAATCTGTAAACGGATTTTCGCAAAAGCAGTTCCTTTTGTTACATAACAATTGTTATAATCAAGTCGACACACCTAGCTAATCTGGACAAAGTAAACATGATCTCACATTTACTTTACACGTTGTTGCAGTAGAAGACACGTTATTGTGAGTAGCAGAGGACCAACACAATATATTTTATATATTTCAATGATCTCTTTAAATATATAAAAGCCTGGAAAATAAGAAATTGGAGACTCTCAAATCACCTATGAAGATGAGCAGAACTCCCACTATGATTTGTAGGATGAGAGAGATGCTAATGAGAGTGATAAGGGGTGCATAGAAGGTGAAGCCGGGTCCTTGCTCCATCACAGCCTTCAGCTGTGAGGTGTTGGCCACCAGTAGAGCTACATCCAGCATGCTCTCTGCCGCACTCTTCTTATTGGCATAATGGTTCATGTTCAGAGGCCCCTGTTGCCTCCTCCCCTGGCCTCGCAGCGCAACCTAAAGGCAAACATAAACCATGACATCAGTATGACATCAGTATTGACGGTTAGAAATGTGGTAATTCCATTCCTCTATTAATGTCTCAATTATGGTAGATTTCATGAACATAAAATATGTTGTCATCAGGTGTTAGTTATTTACTTTGTGATGTAGCGTCTGAGGTATTTTTATTAAGTGCAACCTCACCCCCCGGTCTAAGCCAAACTCCACCCTCTGCAAAAATACAAACAATTCTACTAAGTGGGAAAGAGGCCGAAAAAGGGGAAATGGATTAGAAAGGCTAAATGACAGATAAGTTCAAACAGGTCCACTCAGCCGAGCAAGGTTGCATATTTGTACATTTGGTAAGAAATGTCAATATTAACCGCAGCATTGGTGAGTTTAATCACAGTGGAGTCATATCATTTCCCTTACAGCTTAAACATGTGTATGTGTGCACACACTCTTTAAACTTAAGAGATGTGGTCTAACTCACGACACTTCTAAATGAACCCACTCTGTTAGTGTACTGATGTAATAGAAATAAACACATTGAGTATCTTCACTTTTACCACTGTAACTCTAACACTGGAAACAGCCTGCTTTCTTCTCCTGAAATTGTGTAAACAAGGTTTTTAAATGAATGGGACAAAATAACAACGCACTGCTGCAAGCATGATGAGTTTTATTTAAATATGTGTGGACAAATGATGTCACCTTCTCAGGAAATACAGTGCTGGAAATGCAGGGGTTCTTTTTCAGCCTAAATCTTCCATTTAGAAATAATTGTTATTATGTTATGTTATATGTTATTAATAACTCAACCATGACAATACATTTGATCGCAACTGATCATCATGACGGCAAAACTATAACCCAGATTTGTGCAATTCCAGTATTTTATTTTCTATGAAAAAAAATGGTGGAAGTGAAAGTGTATAGTGGCTAAATTGAAACAGGAACAACCATGACCCTCTGAGCAGGTCACAAAACTCACAATAATGACCTCGATCCGGTTTCACTAAATACATCACATGTAAAACCACATATGGTTCCATGAATCATTTCCCCTACTTTTTGTAGAACAGTAAAGAAATGGGTTACGTTTGTCTCTTTGGTGAAATGAGACCGTAGTAAATGGTTAATTGAAAACAAAACTATCACATCACAGGAAGCCAGGGTATGTGGTCATGAGTTTAGGTTAGTTCCCAGGGTTTCATCTCGTAGTTCAGAGATTGCAAAAATGTCCCCCTTGTGTAAAGGTTGACAACGCCACACACTGAGGCTCAGCTTAGCGTTCTTGTTTCTTCAGAAAACTACCAAGCCACAGAGGAAAAAGATGCTCTTGTGGTAAACCAGCAGTGTCAATAGCTGTCCCGAGGGCTGCTCGATTATGGCAAAAATCATAATCTCGATTATTTGGGTCAATAATTGATATTGCGGTTATTAAAAATGATTATCCATTTACTTTGAAAACATAAATGTATTGGAGAATTTTTTTTTGAACAGTATGTTTTTAACAGTTGATTACCCTGAACTTTAAGTATAATTCAACTGAAAAACCAATTAAAAAAAATGTAATTTGAAAAATAAATAAATAATAATAATACAAAAATAATCTTTTTATTTCAATTACGCTGTTTTCGTAATCGTTGCGAGCCATAATCGTAATTGCGATTAAAATACGATTAATTGAGCAGCCCTAGCTGTCCCCCATTAAATGTAATTGTACTGTTACAGCTTCATTTTCACTTTGTGTCCTCTGACTGAGTATAGCTTCCTATAAATACGGTGCTTTCTTTAAACGTTGGTTATAATGTGTTCTTTATGTGGTGTGGTTTTTGTTAATAACTTTGGATGGTTCAATATACCAATAATCATATTTTAAAGGTTTTTCCTAAGTATTGTGTGTCAGAATCTGAATTTATAAAGTATCTAATATATAACTCAGTAAAATATAAGTAGGCTATAGTAAAAAGTACAAAATGTGCTTCCAAATGTACAACAACTACAGTAGTATAGAGTAGTATATAATACAAATACTCGAAAGGATGATGAAAAATGACAGTAGCTCAAATGTGTACTTAAGTACAGTACTACAGAATAAATGTACTTATTTACTTTCCACCACTACACAGTACCATATAAAGGGGAGCCAGTGTAGACCCTCGGACAGGCTAATAAAACACACATATTTATTGTTTAAGAGAGCAGATGTAAGTTTGCTTTTACATTACTGAATGTGACCAGGACAAGCACAGTTTAAAGCTATTTAGCGTTAGGTCCGATCAGATCATATCCCTGGTACACCTGGAGGTGGATTCCTTTACAGAGCAATGCTTGTTGGATTTGACTTACAGCCACATGGTCTGCTGTGTCATCATTAAGTGTAAACTGAGCCCTGAGGATGAGAACAGGGCAACAAAGGCAAACTCAGCTCACAACACAAACACATGTTATCTGTTGAATAGAAACTAATGCTAATCTGCTAACCGGTCACATTGGCTTAATGACCTCAAACCCGCAAACACGGAATGACACTTTAACAATGGTTAAAAAAAACAAACACCGTTAGGATGCGTGGAAAACAACAGTAGACAATATATATCCGCTGTACCCGATCAATATATCTTAATTGTGACTGTTTTTGAGGGGATTTTACCCCGCCTGAGCTGCCCTGGATGTTAGGGGACGCTTTACATTACGCTGTCTTTTGTCACGAACACCGGTATTAACTTACCTCCGCCTCTCCATTTCGGTCGGCATCACCGTTCATTTCATAGCTGTCCGTAGCCATCTTCTTAATAACTTTATCCAGAATAGCTTGTTTTATACTGAGTGTTCAAGGGTTCAAGGGAGACGGTGGTCCAGCCGGCGGGTACAGACTGTATAAAGGCTAGCGTGACGACAAGCAGTAGCGTGGCGTCGGGAAAAATGTAGGGGAAGCCCATTTTTTGGGTCGGGGGGTGGTCAATAACGTAACCAGATGAGTGATTACAGCGCCCGGTATCATTTTACACACATTGGTATCACACAGATGCAGGACTTGCACACGCCTGTTATCTAACCGACAGGTCCGCACGCACTCTCCAGCTGAAACTCTCTCCTTATTAATTTAAGCATTTTACTTATTAATGTATGCAGACAATCACACAATCTATGTGATTTTTGGATTTACCGTGCCTCTCAATTGCCCGTGACAGGTTGGCAAGGTCGATGAATCCTGAAGTTGCCCAAGGATTGTTCAGGGAGCACGAATCCTTGTCAAAAAGAAGACATGGCCAGCAAAATAGACGCTGAAGTTTAGCGCTTCCAGTTAGCCACTCCGTGCGGACATAATTGTCCTCATTGAACGTCCGATTCTCTCCCTTTTTCCTCTGCGTACACACAGCTCGAGTGCGGGCATTTGCCTGTCATCTGATTTAATTTGTAGTTGCTGCTGTAGCGGAAGTTTAGTAAAGTTATGTTTGATTAAGTACGCCAAATCTCCACCCTCCATAATGCTTCATTTGCTTGATAATTTCTAACGGCGGTGATGACAGTTACAGTATTAAAACTGATGTTGATGTGATTTGATTGGATGGCAGTGTCCAATCAAATCGCCAGCCGCCAGCCGCCTCTGAAGGGAAGCAAGAGGCGGCTAGCTTCCCTTGGCATGGCCCTGACCAATCACAGGTTGGCAGGGGCATCACGTGGGCCTCATCTGATTGGTCAATCCCTCCATTTTTTTTCACCAAGGGAAGCTAGATTCGGCTGGCCTCCTCTCGCAACAGTGAGTGCAATCTACTGTTTCACCATAACATCTAGAGGGGCGCTGTTTGTTTCACTCTTTGTAAAATACTCAATGAGAATGGGGGAGAGCCGGGCCGGCAGCAACACACAGCAAAGGAGAATTATCGAAACAAAACAAAGTGTTTGTATTTATTTATTTAAATTATAACTACAATCCGAAAAAACAGGGGAAGCCTGGCTTCCCTTGGCCTCCGGGAGAAAACGCCACTGAGTGCAATGCCACTTAGTTTGGGGAATAAATATTCTGCATATTTGTGTAAATAATGTGGAGGTCCTTCTTTACTAAGTTGATCAGCAGGCATGTAGAGTCCTGTAAAGGGTGATCAAGAACTCGGGTTGGGCCGCTGTACACCAAAGGCTGTAATGAAGACGTTGACCACGACTATGATAACGACGAAGGCTGTGGTGGTATTCTCCAAGATGTTCAGCTTGAAGTGCATGCGTGTATCATTCAGGTTCCACTTAACTGTAAAAAGAAAAAAGGAAATACATTAGTTTTGCCTAGTCCGTAGGAGTAGGCCTGCCATCCCCTCAAGAAACTATCACAGAGTTTCCTGTTGTATTGGTAATCATTTCTGAGCTCCATGGTATAGATGAACAACATCTGACAGCACAGCCCTCAAGTGAATAATTCGCTTCTTCCTCCATTAGGACATTACATGCTTCGCTGGGTTGAGAATGTTTTTTTCTTTAGAAAGAGAAGGTCTGTTTTGTTTTTTTAACGACCGTCTCAGATTTGGCAAATCTCCAAGACATGACTTATTTTCCAAAAGTTAAGAGAGCTCTTTAAAACTGGAAACAGCTGACAGCAGAGGCGCTTCTTCCTGTTGTGACTCCCTAAACTCAGCCAACAGTATTCTGTTAGGATAAGATAAGGAGCCAAAGGAAGAGTGAGTACACTGATATGTATGTGCTCCCAGGGTTATCGGTTATATGCAGGGGTGCACATAACTGGTACGCAGATAAGCATGCGCGGCAACAATCTGAAATGCGTACCGTCACTCACTTGTGTCACAAGGCGCATTTGCGTACCGACGTCTTATGAAGCTTTTCCAGAAGGCGGTTAGATCACCGGACGACATAGTCGGTCTCCGTGTGCACAGACAGGGCTGCTGTTAACGTCGGTCTGTACAACGGAATTGTGCCAAAACTACGCCTACCGGCTGCGGAGGGAGAGTCCCCCCTGTCTTATTATACATCCATGGTCACTACCCGATCTGCAGCTCTGCCCAATCTGCAGTGCGCATGTGCGAGATGGTCCGTCATATTGGAAACCCAAGTAGGACCCTTGACACGGTGGCTTTTGGCAAATCATAAAAAGACAACGCGAGAGATGAGTTATTATTATTACGTGACTTCACTATTATTTAACAACTCTTTTTATTGGGTTCTTTTATTTGGGGTTAAGTAGGCTACATTGTCAGAATAAGTGAGAAATTAATTTAACTTCTGTTAGACAGCTATATGCCATACATGTTTGCATACATTCACAGTAAATATGTATTCAGTATGGTAGCTGTCTAACAGAAGTTACATTTCTCACTTATTGTGATAATGTACTTAACCCCAAATATGGCGGATCATCTCGCACATGCGCACTGCAGATCGGGTAGTGACACCCCCCTTCACTGGAGAAGGGGAAATATTGACGTTCGCGATACAGAGGGCTTCATCAAATAACTCTGAGTGAAGTATGAAGTTGGAGTACCAAACACTGACTCCAGATACTCATCTCAGTACCTCACTGAGAAAGTTATGTGCACCCCTGGTTATATGCCCAGAGAAGCCTAAATATTATTGTGCTTCTTTTTGTGTGGTTAAAAATCTTCGTTGGTAGACCTGTAAAAACAGCATGAGACATTTGATATCCAATTTAGTACAAATGGTTTCAGTTGTAGAGAATGATTAGCCAACAAATCCTATCAATGAACAGCAGTTGTTAGTTGTGTTCCCATGTGACAGTGTAGTTACAAATGCACACACATTGTAACAAGTACACGTTTTTTGACCCGGCCTTTGCCTGTAACAGTGGACTCAAAAAGTCCCATTTGTGACTTAAATGGGTGTGCATGTGTAACTTCAGTATCACATAGCATGGGAGATTTGATTATTGAGTTTCACAGAGTTATCTGCCTTGAATCTGTAAACGGATTTTCGCAAAAGCAGTTCCTTTTGTTACATAACAATTGTTATAATCAAGTCGACACACCTAGCTAATCTGGACAAAGTAAACATGATCTCACATTTACTTTACACGTTGTTGCAGTAGAAGACACGTTATTGTGAGTAGCAGAGGACCAACACAATATATTTTATATATTTCAATGATCTCTTTAAATATATAAAAGCCTGGAAAATAAGAAATTGGAGACTCTCAAATCACCTATGAAGATGAGCAGAACTCCCACTATGATTTGTAGGATGAGAGAGATGCTAATGAGAGTGATAAGGGGTGCATAGAAGGTGAAGCCGGGTCCTTGCTCCATCACAGCCTTCAGCTGTGAGGTGTTGGCCACCAGTAGAGCTACATCCAGCATGCTCTCTGCCGCACTCTTCTTATTGGCATAATGGTTCATGTTCAGAGGCCCCTGTTGCCTCCTCCCCTGGCCTCGCAGCGCAACCTAAAGGCAAACATAAACCATGACATCAGTATGACATCAGTATTGACGGTTAGAAATGTGGTAATTCCATTCCTCTATTAATGTCTCAATTATGGTAGATTTCATGAACATAAAATATGTTGTCATCAGGTGTTAGTTATTTACTTTGTGATGTAGCGTCTGAGGTATTTTTATTAAGTGCAACCTCACCCCCCGGTCTAAGCCAAACTCCACCCTCTGCAAAAATACAAACAATTCTACTAAGTGGGAAAGAGGCCGAAAAAGGGGAAATGGATTAGAAAGGCTAAATGACAGATAAGTTCAAACAGGTCCACTCAGCCGAGCAAGGTTGCATATTTGTACATTTGGTAAGAAATGTCAATATTAACCGCAGCATTGGTGAGTTTAATCACAGTGGAGTCATATCATTTCCCTTACAGCTTAAACATGTGTATGTGTGCACACACTCTTTAAACTTAAGAGATGTGGTCTAACTCACGACACTTCTAAATGAACCCACTCTGTTAGTGTACTGATGTAATAGAAATAAACACATTGAGTATCTTCACTTTTACCACTGTAACTCTAACACTGGAAACAGCCTGCTTTCTTCTCCTGAAATTGTGTAAACAAGGTTTTTAAATGAATGGGACAAAATAACAACGCACTGCTGCAAGCATGATGAGTTTTATTTAAATATGTGTGGACAAATGATGTCACCTTCTCAGGAAATACAGTGCTGGAAATGCAGGGGTTCTTTTTCAGCCTAAATCTTCCATTTAGAAATAATTGTTATTATGTTATGTTATATGTTATTAATAACTCAACCATGACAATACATTTGATCGCAACTGATCATCATGACGGCAAAACTATAACCCAGATTTGTGCAATTCCAGTATTTTATTTTCTATGAAAAAAAATGGTGGAAGTGAAAGTGTATAGTGGCTAAATTGAAACAGGAACAACCATGACCCTCTGAGCAGGTCACAAAACTCACAATAATGACCTCGATCCGGTTTCACTAAATACATCACATGTAAAACCACATATGGTTCCATGAATCATTTCCCCTACTTTTTGTAGAACAGTAAAGAAATGGGTTACGTTTGTCTCTTTGGTGAAATGAGACCGTAGTAAATGGTTAATTGAAAACAAAACTATCACATCACAGGAAGCCAGGGTATGTGGTCATGAGTTTAGGTTAGTTCCCAGGGTTTCATCTCGTAGTTCAGAGATTGCAAAAATGTCCCCCTTGTGTAAAGGTTGACAACGCCACACACTGAGGCTCAGCTTAGCGTTCTTGTTTCTTCAGAAAACTACCAAGCCACAGAGGAAAAAGATGCTCTTGTGGTAAACCAGCAGTGTCAATAGCTGTCCCGAGGGCTGCTCGATTATGGCAAAAATCATAATCTCGATTATTTGGGTCAATAATTGATATTGCGGTTATTAAAAATGATTATCCATTTACTTTGAAAACATAAATGTATTGGAGAATTTTTTTTTGAACAGTATGTTTTTAACAGTTGATTACCCTGAACTTTAAGTATAATTCAACTGAAAAACCAATTAAAAAAAATGTAATTTGAAAAATAAATAAATAATAATAATACAAAAATAATCTTTTTATTTCAATTACGCTGTTTTCGTAATCGTTGCGAGCCATAATCGTAATTGCGATTAAAATACGATTAATTGAGCAGCCCTAGCTGTCCCCCATTAAATGTAATTGTACTGTTACAGCTTCATTTTCACTTTGTGTCCTCTGACTGAGTATAGCTTCCTATAAATACGGTGCTTTCTTTAAACGTTGGTTATAATGTGTTCTTTATGTGGTGTGGTTTTTGTTAATAACTTTGGATGGTTCAATATACCAATAATCATATTTTAAAGGTTTTTCCTAAGTATTGTGTGTCAGAATCTGAATTTATAAAGTATCTAATATATAACTCAGTAAAATATAAGTAGGCTATAGTAAAAAGTACAAAATGTGCTTCCAAATGTACAACAACTACAGTAGTATAGAGTAGTATATAATACAAATACTCGAAAGGATGATGAAAAATGACAGTAGCTCAAATGTGTACTTAAGTACAGTACTACAGAATAAATGTACTTATTTACTTTCCACCACTACACAGTACCATATAAAGGGGAGCCAGTGTAGACCCTCGGACAGGCTAATAAAACACACATATTTATTGTTTAAGAGAGCAGATGTAAGTTTGCTTTTACATTACTGAATGTGACCAGGACAAGCACAGTTTAAAGCTATTTAGCGTTAGGTCCGATCAGATCATATCCCTGGTACACCTGGAGGTGGATTCCTTTACAGAGCAATGCTTGTTGGATTTGACTTACAGCCACATGGTCTGCTGTGTCATCATTAAGTGTAAACTGAGCCCTGAGGATGAGAACAGGGCAACAAAGGCAAACTCAGCTCACAACACAAACACATGTTATCTGTTGAATAGAAACTAATGCTAATCTGCTAACCGGTCACATTGGCTTAATGACCTCAAACCCGCAAACACGGAATGACACTTTAACAATGGTTAAAAAAAACAAACACCGTTAGGATGCGTGGAAAACAACAGTAGACAATATATATCCGCTGTACCCGATCAATATATCTTAATTGTGACTGTTTTTGAGGGGATTTTACCCCGCCTGAGCTGCCCTGGATGTTAGGGGACGCTTTACATTACGCTGTCTTTTGTCACGAACACCGGTATTAACTTACCTCCGCCTCTCCATTTCGGTCGGCATCACCGTTCATTTCATAGCTGTCCGTAGCCATCTTCTTAATAACTTTATCCAGAATAGCTTGTTTTATACTGAGTGTTCAAGGGTTCAAGGGAGACGGTGGTCCAGCCGGCGGGTACAGACTGTATAAAGGCTAGCGTGACGACAAGCAGTAGCGTGGCGTCGGGAAAAATGTAGGGGAAGCCCATTTTTTGGGTCGGGGGGTGGTCAATAACGTAACCAGATGAGTGATTACAGCGCCCGGTATCATTTTACACACATTGGTATCACACAGATGCAGGACTTGCACACGCCTGTTATCTAACCGACAGGTCCGCACGCACTCTCCAGCTGAAACTCTCTCCTTATTAATTTAAGCATTTTACTTATTAATGTATGCAGACAATCACACAATCTATGTGATTTTTGGATTTACCGTGCCTCTCAATTGCCCGTGACAGGTTGGCAAGGTCGATGAATCCTGAAGTTGCCCAAGGATTGTTCAGGGAGCACGAATCCTTGTCAAAAAGAAGACATGGCCAGCAAAATAGACGCTGAAGTTTAGCGCTTCCAGTTAGCCACTCCGTGCGGACATAATTGTCCTCATTGAACGTCCGATTCTCTCCCTTTTTCCTCTGCGTACACACAGCTCGAGTGCGGGCATTTGCCTGTCATCTGATTTAATTTGTAGTTGCTGCTGTAGCGGAAGTTTAGTAAAGTTATGTTTGATTAAGTACGCCAAATCTCCACCCTCCATAATGCTTCATTTGCTTGATAATGTCTAACGGCGGTGGTGACAGTTACAGTATTAAAACTGATGTTGATGTGATTTGATTGGATGGCAGTGTCCAATCAAATCGCCAGCCGCCAGCCGCCTCTGAAGGGAAGCAAGAGGCGGCTAGCTTCCCTTGGCATGGCCCTGACCAATCACAGGTTGGCAGGGGCATCACGTGGGCCTCATCTGATTGGTCAATCCCTCCATTTTTTTTCACCAAGGGAAGCTAGATTCGGCTGGCCTCCTCTCGCAACAGTGAGTGCAATCTACTGTTTCACCATAACATCTAGAGGGGCGCTGTTTGTTTCACTCTTTGTAAAATACTCAATGAGAATGGGGGAGAGCCGGGCCGGCAGCAACACACAGCAAAGGAGAATTATCGAAACAAAACAAAGTGTTTGTATTTATTTATTTAAATTATAACTACAATCCGAAAAAACAGGGGAAGCCTGGCTTCCCTTGGCCTCCGGGAGAAAACGCCACTGAGTGCAATGCCACTTAGTTTGGGGAATAAATATTCTGCATATTTGTGTAAATAATGTGGAGGTCCTTCTTTACTAAGTTGATCAGCAGGCATGTAGAGTCCTGTAAAGGGTGATCAAGAACTCGGGTTGGGCCGCTGTACACCAAAGGCTGTAATGAAGACGTTGACCACGACTATGATAACGACGAAGGCTGTGGTGGTATTCTCCAAGATGTTCAGCTTGAAGTGCATGCGTGTATCATTCAGGTTCCACTTAACTGTAAAAAGAAAAAAGGAAATACATTAGTTTTGCCTAGTCCGTAGGAGTAGGCCTGCCATCCCCTCAAGAAACTATCACAGAGTTTCCTGTTGTATTGGTAATCATTTCTGAGCTCCATGGTATAGATGAACAACATCTGACAGCACAGCCCTCAAGTGAATAATTCGCTTCTTCCTCCATTAGGACATTACATGCTTCGCTGGGTTGAGAATGTTTTTTTCTTTAGAAAGAGAAGGTCTGTTTTGTTTTTTTAACGACCGTCTCAGATTTGGCAAATCTCCAAGACATGACTTATTTTCCAAAAGTTAAGAGAGCTCTTTAAAACTGGAAACAGCTGACAGCAGAGGCGCTTCTTCCTGTTGTGACTCCCTAAACTCAGCCAACAGTATTCTGTTAGGATAAGATAAGGAGCCAAAGGAAGAGTGAGTACACTGATATGTATGTGCTCCCAGGGTTATCGGTTATATGCAGGGGTGCACATAACTGGTACGCAGATAAGCATGCGCGGCAACAATCTGAAATGCGTACCGTCACTCACTTGTGTCACAAGGCGCATTTGCGTACCGACGTCTTATGAAGCTTTTCCAGAAGGCGGTTAGATCACCGGACGACATAGTCGGTCTCCGTGTGCACAGACAGGGCTGCTGTTAACGTCGGTCTGTACAACGGAATTGTGCCAAAACTACGCCTACCGGCTGCGGAGGGAGAGTCCCCCCTGTCTTATTATACATCCATGGTCACTACCCGATCTGCAGCTCTGCCCAATCTGCAGTGCGCATGTGCGAGATGGTCCGTCATATTGGAAACCCAAGTAGGACCCTTGACACGGTGGCTTTTGGCAAATCATAAAAAGACAACGCGAGAGATGAGTTATTATTATTACGTGACTTCACTATTATTTAACAACTCTTTTTATTGGGTTCTTTTATTTGGGGTTAAGTAGGCTACATTGTCAGAATAAGTGAGAAATTAATTTAACTTCTGTTAGACAGCTATATGCCATACATGTTTGCATACATTCACAGTAAATATGTATTCAGTATGGTAGCTGTCTAACAGAAGTTACATTTCTCACTTATTGTGATAATGTACTTAACCCCAAATATGGCGGATCATCTCGCACATGCGCACTGCAGATCGGGTAGTGACACCCCCCTTCACTGGAGAAGGGGAAATATTGACGTTCGCGATACAGAGGGCTTCATCAAATAACTCTGAGTGAAGTATGAAGTTGGAGTACCAAACACTGACTCCAGATACTCATCTCAGTACCTCACTGAGAAAGTTATGTGCACCCCTGGTTATATGCCCAGAGAAGCCTAAATATTATTGTGCTTCTTTTTGTGTGGTTAAAAATCTTCGTTGGTAGACCTGTAAAAACAGCATGAGACATTTGATATCCAATTTAGTACAAATGGTTTCAGTTGTAGAGAATGATTAGCCAACAAATCCTATCAATGAACAGCAGTTGTTAGTTGTGTTCCCATGTGACAGTGTAGTTACAAATGCACACACATTGTAACAAGTACACGTTTTTTGACCCGGCCTTTGCCTGTAACAGTGGACTCAAAAAGTCCCATTTGTGACTTAAATGGGTGTGCATGTGTAACTTCAGTATCACATAGCATGGGAGATTTGATTATTGAGTTTCACAGAGTTATCTGCCTTGAATCTGTAAACGGATTTTCGCAAAAGCAGTTCCTTTTGTTACATAACAATTGTTATAATCAAGTCGACACACCTAGCTAATCTGGACAAAGTAAACATGATCTCACATTTACTTTACACGTTGTTGCAGTAGAAGACACGTTATTGTGAGTAGCAGAGGACCAACACAATATATTTTATATATTTCAATGATCTCTTTAAATATATAAAAGCCTGGAAAATAAGAAATTGGAGACTCTCAAATCACCTATGAAGATGAGCAGAACTCCCACTATGATTTGTAGGATGAGAGAGATGCTAATGAGAGTGATAAGGGGTGCATAGAAGGTGAAGCCGGGTCCTTGCTCCATCACAGCCTTCAGCTGTGAGGTGTTGGCCACCAGTAGAGCTACATCCAGCATGCTCTCTGCCGCACTCTTCTTATTGGCATAATGGTTCATGTTCAGAGGCCCCTGTTGCCTCCTCCCCTGGCCTCGCAGCGCAACCTAAAGGCAAACATAAACCATGACATCAGTATGACATCAGTATTGACGGTTAGAAATGTGGTAATTCCATTCCTCTATTAATGTCTCAATTATGGTAGATTTCATGAACATAAAATATGTTGTCATCAGGTGTTAGTTATTTACTTTGTGATGTAGCGTCTGAGGTATTTTTATTAAGTGCAACCTCACCCCCCGGTCTAAGCCAAACTCCACCCTCTGCAAAAATACAAACAATTCTACTAAGTGGGAAAGAGGCCGAAAAAGGGGAAATGGATTAGAAAGGCTAAATGACAGATAAGTTCAAACAGGTCCACTCAGCCGAGCAAGGTTGCATATTTGTACATTTGGTAAGAAATGTCAATATTAACCGCAGCATTGGTGAGTTTAATCACAGTGGAGTCATATCATTTCCCTTACAGCTTAAACATGTGTATGTGTGCACACACTCTTTAAACTTAAGAGATGTGGTCTAACTCACGACACTTCTAAATGAACCCACTCTGTTAGTGTACTGATGTAATAGAAATAAACACATTGAGTATCTTCACTTTTACCACTGTAACTCTAACACTGGAAACAGCCTGCTTTCTTCTCCTGAAATTGTGTAAACAAGGTTTTTAAATGAATGGGACAAAATAACAACGCACTGCTGCAAGCATGATGAGTTTTATTTAAATATGTGTGGACAAATGATGTCACCTTCTCAGGAAATACAGTGCTGGAAATGCAGGGGTTCTTTTTCAGCCTAAATCTTCCATTTAGAAATAATTGTTATTATGTTATGTTATATGTTATTAATAACTCAACCATGACAATACATTTGATCGCAACTGATCATCATGACGGCAAAACTATAACCCAGATTTGTGCAATTCCAGTATTTTATTTTCTATGAAAAAAAATGGTGGAAGTGAAAGTGTATAGTGGCTAAATTGAAACAGGAACAACCATGACCCTCTGAGCAGGTCACAAAACTCACAATAATGACCTCGATCCGGTTTCACTAAATACATCACATGTAAAACCACATATGGTTCCATGAATCATTTCCCCTACTTTTTGTAGAACAGTAAAGAAATGGGTTACGTTTGTCTCTTTGGTGAAATGAGACCGTAGTAAATGGTTAATTGAAAACAAAACTATCACATCACAGGAAGCCAGGGTATGTGGTCATGAGTTTAGGTTAGTTCCCAGGGTTTCATCTCGTAGTTCAGAGATTGCAAAAATGTCCCCCTTGTGTAAAGGTTGACAACGCCACACACTGAGGCTCAGCTTAGCGTTCTTGTTTCTTCAGAAAACTACCAAGCCACAGAGGAAAAAGATGCTCTTGTGGTAAACCAGCAGTGTCAATAGCTGTCCCGAGGGCTGCTCGATTATGGCAAAAATCATAATCTCGATTATTTGGGTCAATAATTGATATTGCGGTTATTAAAAATGATTATCCATTTACTTTGAAAACATAAATGTATTGGAGAATTTTTTTTTGAACAGTATGTTTTTAACAGTTGATTACCCTGAACTTTAAGTATAATTCAACTGAAAAACCAATTAAAAAAAATGTAATTTGAAAAATAAATAAATAATAATAATACAAAAATAATCTTTTTATTTCAATTACGCTGTTTTCGTAATCGTTGCGAGCCATAATCGTAATTGCGATTAAAATACGATTAATTGAGCAGCCCTAGCTGTCCCCCATTAAATGTAATTGTACTGTTACAGCTTCATTTTCACTTTGTGTCCTCTGACTGAGTATAGCTTCCTATAAATACGGTGCTTTCTTTAAACGTTGGTTATAATGTGTTCTTTATGTGGTGTGGTTTTTGTTAATAACTTTGGATGGTTCAATATACCAATAATCATATTTTAAAGGTTTTTCCTAAGTATTGTGTGTCAGAATCTGAATTTATAAAGTATCTAATATATAACTCAGTAAAATATAAGTAGGCTATAGTAAAAAGTACAAAATGTGCTTCCAAATGTACAACAACTACAGTAGTATAGAGTAGTATATAATACAAATAC